CCCAGTCATAGATTTATTCATAGATCCAGTCAAGATGTATTTTAGTCATTTCTGGTTTAAACTGAGATCCCTTCCCTTTATAACTCACTTATCCTCTGCCATTCCCAAGTCCAGGGTCGCATATCTGACCCAATAGCATATCCTGAAAACTAGAGCCAATCAACAATTTTAAGCATCATTTTCGTTCTCAGTGACCCCAGAATTAGTAAAGTTTGACTACATTTATTTCAGAAGCATTTTGGCTGTAGAGCACTGTTATAAAAGACCCAGAAATATCACTGGTATGGCTCTCTCTCAGGGCACTTACCCGCAGAGCGATTAATCCAGCGGTGGTCGATTTATCGCGTCTAGTGAAGACGCGATAAATCGACCGCTGAGCGCTCTCCCGTTGACTCCGGTACTCCACCAGAGTGAGAAGTGTAGGCAGAGTCGATGGGGGAGCGTCAGCAGTCCACCTACCGCAGTGAAGACACCGCAGTAAGTAGCTCTGAGTACATCGACTTCAGCTACGCTATTTTCGTAACTGAAGTTGCGTAATTTAGACCGACTTAGCTTGCTTCCCCCCCAGCGTAGCCCAGGCCTCAGTAACATGCGTTCAGTGCAATTCTTTCTTCAAGGACACATACACAATGTTTTTGACGTGATTTACACACTTTTCACCCTACATTGACACAAAGGCACTGAGTTTATTTTACAGTGTGTACTTACTCCAAAAGGGGCTGATACGCAAGACTGTTTTTGACTTGCAGATGAGTCTTCAAGCTCTGCACTATGGCATCTTGATAATACACCAACTGGTTGAATGACTGGCATTTGCCAGCCACTTCTTTGTAGAATTTCACTGTTCAAAAAACAAAGGAACACATAAGAACTGTGTCCCAGTTATTGGTAAACATAAAGGACTTTCAAGAGAACAACAGCTCCTCTACAGCCCAATCCCAAACCCACTGAAGTTGATGGAAAGACTCCCAGTGATTTCAATGAGCTTTGAATCAGGACCCTCATCCCCCTGCGTCAGGATGGTATTCTAGGTAAACAAATTCCACCTTGTAAAGCTTGACCTCATTATGCAAGCCCCAAATTGTCCAAATGAATTATAAACTATTTACTATAACGAGATACCAAAGTGCTGTGTGAGGTTCAGTTCTCTCCATTTCTGCAGTCCTTCATAAAAATAGGTTTCAACCTCCTGTCAGAAATAAAGATCATGCATTAGCCAAACTGCCCTAAATAAAAACTATTCTTTCAATGTAAAGATTAGATAGAAGGCTCAATAGATGAAGTACAATCAAATGCCTCATGCCACGCCTCAATTTAAAGAAATGCTGATAACTTCACTTTAAAACAGCTTGAGTTACTGAAACACATTTAATGCTTAAAACATATGGCCAGATAATGCGAAGTGCAAAGCCATATAAGCTCCTGAATGTTTTGTTATCAGACAGTATCTTTAAAAAGTAACACTACTGATATGTGCAAAACATACTTCGAGATTTTACTGCAATTTCACAATGTATTAACTAATTAAATCCATGATCCCGCACAGACTTACATAGGTGCTTACATGTAAACACTGGGAGTTAGTCCCATTAAAATCAATGGGGCTATACGCTGTGCATAAAGTTAAGCATGTGTGTATGGCTTTGCAGGATCGGGACCTCACTTGATCCATTGTTTTTCTTTCCTTACAAACAAATCTGACCACTGACTTTCAATGAGACTTAGGCTCCTAAATCTTAAGTCACTTTTGAAAATGGGACTTAGCTGTCTAAATGGAGCAATGCCTAAATAACTTTAGAAAAATCTGAACCTTGGTGAATATACATTTCTAAAGTGCTCTGAGATCCTTGGTCGAAAGATGTTATAGAATTGCCAAATTATTATATTCTTCTCACCTCAGCGTAGCTCCCAGTCCTGTCAATCCGATGAATAATATCGATATTAACATTGCCTAAGCGTTCAGAGAAGGTGAGAAACTGTAAAAACAAAAACTAAAGTCAAATGTTTCCTTTGCTGTTTATTTCAGAATTATCCCTTTTAAATGAGACTCAGGCCTTGGCTACACTGGCGCTGTACAGCGCTGCAACTTGCTGCGCTCAGGGGTGTGAAAACGCCCCCCAGAGCGCAGCGTTGTAAAGCACCAGTGTAATCAGTGCCTGCAGCGCTGCGAGTGAGCGTGCAGCGCTGTGAATTGCCAAGTGTAGCCAAGGCCCAAATGACATGCACTATATAACTGCAGACATTGCTTTTAAAGGAAACATTGTCAAATAGTTCAGATTGTGTAAATAAAGCTGTTTATATATATATACATACATACATACAGAGAGAGAGATTTTCTGGTTTTATGTCAATGAAATCAGTCTTTTTCTTTGTTTGTTTTTTAGTTAATTGGGGGAGTGGATAGAAATGTCCGCCTGGGGTGTTTACAGCCAAACACTGCAGCACCTGTTAATGCAGGAGAACAAAAACAAAGATCTAAAGCAGACACTTGAGTTTTATTTTCTAAGGCTATGGCTACACTACAAGGCTTTTAGCGACACGGCTGTGCCGCTACAGCTGTGCCACTAAAAGGAAGGCAGTGTAGCTGCTGTTTGTCGGCAGGAGAGAGCTCGCCTGTCGACAAAAAACTTCCACCCCGCACAAACGGCAGCAGTTTTGTCGGCAGGAGCTCTCCGACAAAGCACTCACCAGCGTTTTTCGTCAGTAATACTTTTGTCGTTCGGGTGTGCGTGTTTTTTTAACACCTGAACAACAAAAGTTTTGCCAACGAAGTGCCAGTGTAGACAAAGCCTAAGTGGGGTGAAGCACAGTTAAGTAAGCTAAGAGCATAAATGGAGGGTGGGAAGGAAGGTAAATATTAGATTTTTAAAATGATTACAGTTTTCAGTGCATAGCTGTTCTAACACATACCACAGAGCGGGGTGGCCAAACCGTGGCTTGCGATCCACATGCAGCTCTTTTACTGTTAAAGTGCGGCTCATGAAACCCCCGTGCGGCTCATGAAACCCACATGCCCCCCCATTTTCCACCTACCAGACCGGGGGGGAAAGCTTGGGCCTTCTCCCCTGTGGTGGGGTGGTGCTAGGGGCTTCTACCCAGCGGGGAGGGGAGGGTCTAGGGACATCAGCCCCACAGGAGGCACCTGCAGGCGCTTGAGCCCTGCTCTTGCTGAAGCCCCGAACCGCGCCTCCCGTGGGGCTGAAGCCCCTAGCCCCACCATCCTGGCAGGTGCGCCCAGCTCTTGAACTTCTGAAGTTTATCGTATGCAGCTCAGAGGATCAGTACATTTGGCCACCCCTGCCATAGAGCTTGATCCTGGCTTTAAGTAATGCCCATGCAGCGCCCCATCGTCTTCAATGGATGGGTAGAAATAGGGTAGGTAAAGGATAGGTGGGGGAAGAAAGGGGATGTGCACGCAAGTGCCAGTTAGCTTGCATGATCACAATGGAAGATTGATTATTAACAGTCTGAAGTTTTATAAGTAACACAAGAACTTTTAAAAAAAGATGTATTATCTTCATGTTCCTAATTGTCTTCAATTATCAGAGCATTGCTCATCTACAGGTGTCTATAAAAATATTAATGACTGACAGAACACTAGTTATATTTCAGTATAAGGAGTCTTTCCAAAACAAAGAATTACAGCAAACGTTTTTCATCACTCAACTAAACATTGTTTTAAGCAGACACTATTTGGATGTATTTTAAAACACAATTTCTGATGAGAAGTCTTTAAATAACATGCCCTCGATTCATTTTTTGTAAATGCCTTTCTAAAGTATTTTATTGGGGGGTTTCTCGTCCTACCCTGTCAATGGGTTTCTAGCTTCTTTTCAGCAAGGGAGGCACATTGACTGACTTGGGAAACAGTGAAAATGACTACATGCGAAATGTCGTCCAATACACAAAGTAAACAAACTAAAAAATTAGGAGAACTTTTTTTTTTTTTGCTATCTCCTTTCAGTTATACCAGTGTTGAGTATTACTTGTGACTATAACAAATACAAAACCCTCAGACAGAAATATAATAATTGAGTTAATGCTGTTTCCTTAAACATCAGTTACACCACTTAGAACAGTGTTTCCCAAACGTGGGACGCCGGGAATATCTGCATGATTAGAGCATCTTGCGGGAAGCGGCAGTCAGTACGTCCCTCGGCCCACGCCGCTTCCAGCAAGCGGCGTGGGCCGAGGGATGTACTGGCTGCCGCTTCCTGCAGCCCCCATTGGCCTGGAGCAGCGAACCATGGCCAGTGGGAGCCGCGATCGGCAGAACCTGCGGACGGGGCAGGTAAACAAACCGGCCCAGCCCGGCAGGGGCTTTCCCTATACAAGCGGCATCCCAAGTTTGGGAAACACTGACTTAGAAACCCTTTTTTGGGATAGTCATGTTAAAGAGATTATAGGGGCTATTAGATATTCCAGCAAAAAACCTCAGCAAAATACAAGGTTTGCTATACCAGTGCAGAAAGATGTATCTGAAAGGTTTCATAGGGCCAAATCATGCCCTATAGCAGAAAAATATACAGGAGAGAAAAATGTTATTGGCACTTGCAGAGTGTTCTATATGTTATCTAGGTAGGATGCTCTAATCATGCAGATATCCCAGAACCCTGGAGGAAATTATTGACACTCATAACATCAAATCAGACAGCCAGGGAATCCCTCCAGCCATACCCAGGCAGTGTGATTTCCTCTAGAGCAGTGGTTCTCAAACTTTTTTACTGGTGACCCCTTTCACATAGCAAGCCTCTGAGTGTGACCCCCTTTATACATTAAAAACACTTTTTAATATATTTACACCATTATAAATGCTGGAGGCAGAGTGGGGTTGGGGTGGAGGTTGACAGCTCGCGACCCCCTGAGGAGTCCCGACTCCCAGTTTGAGAACCCCTGCAAACTTTTTGGCCTGAGAGCCACATCGGGGTTCCGAAACTGTATGGAGGGCCCGTGTAGTGTCTGGCGGCTCCCAGCAACCATCGGCACTAGCTAACGTTGATAGCACTGGTGGAGCCAGTCGAACTAATATTGGCAATGGTAAGAATTTTTTACACAGATTTCCCTAGCATAGGTGAATCTGCAGGTTCCCAAATAACATGTGGTACTCGCTTTTCCCTAGCGTAGGCAAAACTGTGCTCATTTGAAGAAGTTTCCATGAACTCAGAAACAGGGAGGAAGCTACTGCTTTTGCTCTCCTGTCCTCTAACATTTAGTGTGAGGACCCCAAAGCAGGATTTTTGCTTTTGGTTTCCTTTACTCCACACAGTGAGGGGAAAGGAGAGGAGGAATTCTGATAAGGCCTGTTGTGAATAGCAGAGGGTCAAATGAACGGAAACTCATTCTAACAGGAAATGCAAAGAGGGATCGGGGTAATATCTGGACTCTGAACAGAAAAATCATTTGAACAGTGCGATTAGATTATAACCTCTTCACAACTGTGTCTTCAGGGCCCAGCCCAGCATGTGGGCCTTAAAACAATAACTAGGGAGCCCAAAACAGCGATGGGGGGGGGGGAGGGAACTGTTTGAGGAAGAGAAGGAGTCACCCCCGAGACGTGTGTTCCCAGCCCGGGGACAGTTGTGCTGCAACCCCCGGCCAGGGCAGCGCTCGGGGAAGGGGCGGCCCCACTCTCCGGGGCTGTGTCCGATGACCAGGCGTCTCCCCGTGGCTCGGCCGGGGGCTCAGACACTCACCCTGTGCGTGTTCTCGGACTTGTGCGAGGAGGATTTGGGCTTCATGGCCCCGAGCGGGCGGGCTCCGAGTCCGGGAGTAGCAGCCGGGGCCTCCTCCGCGGGGCGCCGCGAAAAAAACACACGTGCGGCCCTAGCTGCTGGGCGCCGCCATCTTGGCTGAGGGAGGCGGGGACTGCCGGCGAGGGGCCGGGCTGGAGGCGGCGGGGAGCTGCTGCTGCAGCTGCCAAGCCACGTGTGCTACGGGCGGGGGAGGCGCTGGGGGCGGGCCGGCCATAGGGGGCCCTGCAGCTCCGCCTCTACCCTGCAAAGCTGCTTCCCTGGCCCAAGGAGAGTCCAGCCTGATGCGTCCTCTGGCCCCGGAGTCCGGGCCTCCCCCGGGTCGGAGCTGCTGGCGGCTGGTCTCGTGCCGGATACACTGGCAGCGCCACGCACATTGGCAAGACCAGAATCCGGCAGGACTTGAACTGGGCGTAGCCCCAGATCGAAGCTAGTTTGAAAAATACCTGTGCGGCCCTGTCTTGTGCCAGCCTCCGGCTCTGCCTCCCCCATGCTGAGCTCCAGTGCCTGGGTGTCCTGGCTTTCCCCGACATCTCCATGTTCCTCCAAGTTTCTTAATAGCTGCAGTGCGAATTGACCATTTGTCCGAGAATCAACAGGATTCTTCTGTTAGTCTCAAAGGTGCCACAGGACCCTCTGTTGCTTTTTACAGATTCAGACTAACCCGGCTACCCCTCTGATACAGGATTCTTCTGTCTACCTAGTTGCATCGACATGGGTGGTTACGTTGACCTAACTACAGTGATCAGGGCACAGAAATTTTTCACAGCCCTGAGCAACGTACCTGGGTCAATTGAATTTTTAAGTGTACACCAGGCCTTCAAAAGACAAATACAGTAGAACCTCAGAGTTACGAACACCTCGGGAATGGGGGTTGTTCCTAACTCTGAAATGTTCATAATCCTGAACAGAGCATTATGGGTGTTCTTCCAAAAGTTTCCAACTGAACATTGACTTAATACAGCTTTGAAACTTTACTATGCAGGAGAAAAATGCTGCTTTCCCTTTATTTTTTTAGTAGTTTACGTTTAACTCAATACTGTCCTGTATTGCCTTTTTTTTTTTTTTGCCTCTGGTGCTGCCTGATTGCGAACTTCCGGTTCCAAATGAGGCATGTGGTGGACTGGTCGGTTCATAACTCTGGTGTTTGTAATTCTGAAGTTGTGCTATGCAGCACAGGCTTATGCTTGGTTATAGAAGGTCATCTTTGTAATCAATACGAGCTAGAAACTTGGGTTGTTTTTTGTTTTGTTTTAAATAAAAAATTAAGTTCATGTACTCACTTGAGAGCTTCTTATTCATCCTGGGTAGGTGGATTTTTCAAACCCTCAAAATATATATACACCACTATTACATAATAAGTATTAGTGGGATAGTTAGTTGGTAAGCATACCTACCATATTTACTTTGTACAGTTTTAGTGAAGATAAATTAAAGTTATGTTTATTTCTATCCATCTTAGGTACTTATATGGCCCCCATAGTTATGGTATTTGAATACCTCACAATCTAACACACTGATCCTCACAGCACCCCTGGGAAGTAGGGAAGTGCTATTATCCTCATTTTACAGATGGGGAACTGAGTTACAGATAGGCTAAGTGACTTACCCACGGTTGTAGAGGAAGCCTGTGGTGGAACAGGGACTTAACCCAGGTCTCCCTAAGACTAGTGCACTAACCACTGGCTCTCTCTATATAAGTCTCTTAGTGCTTGATCATTTGAAATAATATAATGGTGCTGCTAAATGTAGTTACCAAATAAAAGCAGGTGTTTCAATGTAAGACTCTTTTGTATGTGTATGTATCACATGTTTGACACTGTTATCGTGCTATTTGTATAATAGTATTTACATTGCATTTTTGCTTCCCACTAAAGAGCAGAGAAGAGTTATAGGTATCATTGAAAGAAAGGAAAGACACTACTGAAACACCCACAGTATATGGCAGCCTGCCATCGAACCAGAAATGTATAGTAATGCAAGACTGACACTGAATATTTAATTCCCCCCCCACACACACACACATATACCTCCAGTGTGAAACCTTTCCTAGATCTAGATACTTGGGATGTTAACTTGGGCTGCACTTGTACACTGTGCCATGCTAATAAACTTTTGGAAATTGCTGAGATAGATGTGCTAAAACACCCCTACTCTCCCAAAACATAACAAAAAAAACCCACCACACACTCATTTAGGAAAGCAATTGAGTCCTGTGGATAGCGCAATGGAACCTGTGTTCTTAGTCCCAGCTTGGCCATAGGCTTGCTGTGTAACTTTGTACAAGTCGCTTCACCACTCTGTACCTCTGTTTCCTTATCCTCCCTCTCCAACTGGGAGGAAAGATGGTCCAGTGGTTAGACTGTAATCCTGGGATTTGAGAGATGGGTTCCCTTCCCACAGACTTCGTGTCTGCCTCAGATCCCAGTATATAAGGTGGGGTTTATTATTATGAATCATGTTTATTACAGTAATGACTAAGATTACATTTGCATTATGAGCTGAATGTGATTCCCCTGCCTGTCTACGCCTACTCACACTAGCTCTTATCCAGCTAGCACGAGTGTAAATAGAGTAGCCGAGGTAGTGGCAGCAGAAACACAGCTTAGCAATGCTGAGTACCTACCTATCGGCTTCTGACAGGCTTAGCCATGTCTCTGTGCCACTACCAGTGCTACTGCCGCTACACTGCTATTTATATTCGTGCTACCTCAGTGAGAGCTAGAGTGAATATGTGCACAAGAGCAGGAGATGTACTCCTAGTTCGTCATTTAGATGTACCCTATAGACCAACCAAAAATGGGGCCCCTTTGTGCTAGGCCAGGGATCGGGAACCTTTGTCACGTGGTCTGCCAGGGTAAGCACCCTGGCTGACCGAGCCGATTTGTTTACCTGCTGCGTCCACAGGTTTGGCCGATCGTGGCTCCCAGTGGTTGCGGTTCGCCATCCCAGGCCAATGGGCGCTGCGGGAAGTGACGTCCAGCACATCTCTTGGCCCATGCTGTTTCCCGCAGCCCCCATTGGCCTGGGGCAGTGAATCGCAGCCAGTAAGAGCCACGACTGGCCGAACCTGCGGACGCGGCAGGTAAACAAACCGGCCCAGCCCGCCAGTGGCGAGCCGCATGCCAAAGGTTGCCGATCCCTGCACCAGACAATAGGGAGAAGAACTCAACCCTTTTCTGGCTGCTGTCAGCAAGAATGCAGGATGTTCTGTAACATAAGAGATGTTTTCAAAAGTCACAAATATTATTTTAACGTTTTTAAACTTGTAACCCACTCACAGTTTGACAACTGAGACTCTAATTAACACTAAAGCTGGTAACTGGACACATGTGTCAGATATTAACCCAACAGGAAATGGTGACCGATTTAGACTCATAGACTTTAGGGTCAGAATGGACCATCATGATCATTTAGTCTGACCTGAACATTGCAGGCCACAGAACTTCACCTACCCTCTCTTATAATAAACGCATAACCTCGGGCTGAGTTACTGACGTCTTTAATTAATGATTTAAAGACCTCAAGTTACAGAGAATCCATCATTTACACTAGTTTAAACCATGCTGCAGAGAAAGGCAAAAAAAACCCCCAAAAACCCAGAGTCTCCGCCAATCTGACACCAAATATGGTGATCAGTTGCATGTGGTCAACAATGATGATTTTCCTTTCACAGGAACCCTTGGCTACAGGTTGCAGGGCGAACTGCACTTTTGTCCCCTTTCTGAGTGCCAGCCACTCAGGTCTTAGGTCTTGTGCATTTACCTCTCCTGGAGAGGAATCATATAATTCCCCCACTGTTAGACCAGGCCCTGGGCTACTGTACCCTGTGTTTCAACCATGCTTACCTAGTAGGTCTGATTGCATTCAGCACCCACAGGCCTTCAGGAGTCTGTGACCAGTGGTAAATAGCGTGACCAGGCTGCTTTCTTAAACCAAACAATTGTTTAATTTTAACAATGGGTAACAAAGCACCTAGAAAAAAGGATTTTAAAATAACAGCCTGTGTATGTCTATCTCACCTAAAGCCCTACTATTTGTGATGGTGGCCCAGGCAGACCTAACTTCTTCACCCACTCCAGCATGTCCTGCATGCCAACAGCCCCCAGCAATAACTGCCTCTTCCCTACAGAGTTCTTTTTATCCTGTCTCAGTTCCTTTGTCTTCTCAGTACTTGCGCTTTTTGGCTCCATTGTCCAAAACCAGTTTGTTGGACTCCGTGAAAGGTCAAGTCAGTCTCCTCAGGGCTAAGGGCTTTCCCACAGTTCTGTCTTCAAGAGTTTGCTGAGGGGGAATCTTACCTTGAGTCACTATTTCGCCTTCCCGCTTGTTTCCCAACATTCCTGTTGATTAAAATGCAATCATACAGTCAACTTCCCAGTACTTAACCAGTATAGTCATACCACACTGCTCAATAACCGTGTCAACTTACAACATTCAAATTATTTCTGTCACACCTTTGTATTGCATTAAAAGTTGCTTTGTCTTATTATTTATTACATACTGGTCACTAGCACAGTACATGCTCAGGACATGGTCCCTGCCACAATGAGCTTATAAACTAAAGGACAGGACAATCCAATACAAGCCAATATGTAATGAATGGCTTTATTTGAAGAAGAGACAATTTTTAAAATTAGTAGTTTGTAGATTGTACATAGATTTTAAGGCCAGGGAATTATCACCTAGTTTGACTTTCCTTTATTGATATATGGCTGTGATGGGCTAATGTTCCTAGGCAGAAGTTTATAGAGTCTCATACATAGTTTCAGTGTAAGAAAATTCTTAGTTTTTCAAAACTAAGTATAATAGACAAACAGATATGTTGACAGGCCAAATATATTTAGAAAATAGTTTTCAAACTTAGGTGCCCAAAGTTAGGTTCCTAAATCCATATTTAAGCACTTAAATAACTAGCCTGAGTTTTAAGTGCTGAACACCCAAAATGCAATGGTGTGTAAATTTACTCACGTAGGCCCCAATCCCTCAAAGACATCCATGTATGCTTAAATTTGCACAATCTGAGGTGTACCATTGAAGTCAATGAGGCGACTCACAGTGTGTAAAGTTAAGTATGCACTAGGTATGTTACTGGAACTCTGGTACATCAGAGGAACACTTGCTACTTCCCACCACAGCAGAAGACAGCAGTG